GGCATCCTGTGAAGTGAGACGCCAGTAGTAAAAGGGGATGGACCACTGACACAATTTGCATAATTGGCTGCACCCAAAAAGGGGATGAACTCACCCAGAAAGAGACAGGTATGTGAGGTAGAAGTTACTCTGGGAGGCCATGAGCTTTCCTGAAGAGATGGGTTTTAAGGCACTTCTTAAATAATTGAAGACTAGGGGAGAGTCTGATGGCAGGCTATTCCATAGGAAGGGAGCTGCCCACGAGAAGTCCTGCAAGCGTGAGTTGGCCGTATGCGTGCGTGGAGTGGACATAAGAAGGTCACAAGCAGAGCGGAGAGACCGAGAAGAGGCATAGCTATGGATCTGTGAAGAGATATAAGAGAGGCTAGAATTGGTCAATGCTTTATAGGTATGGGTTAACACCTTTGTAACAGAGCGATGGGCACGCCGACTGGGTACCTCCGTTGAAGGATGCTCCTAGCGCTTCCTGAGGACTCCAAGCACTGTAGCAGACACCATAACCACTGTAGACTCCTCCAGAGAGCAAGTTAGGAACAAGATCTTACAAGAGCTTAGTAGTGATATAGCAAGGGAGTATGACAAGCATAGCAATCCCTTGTAGCAGATTCCCCCAATAAGAGACAGGACTCCAAATTGAGGGTGAAGTAGAACTGTCTGTAGTGGCACATACAGACTCTTTTATTCACATTCTACACACTTAGTACTTCCCACAGGGTTTTGCAGAACAACCAATCAATACGTACAATACACTCAGACACTCCCACACAAAATCCTCCCCTCTGCCTGTGATATCATTACTGAACACAATGGTCTAACAAAATTAATTATCACAGGCAGGAAAATACATAGTTTTACACAATATTCATAACTCTAAAAGTATACATCACATTCACATACATTTTCAGAATCAGCATACCCCAAATACAAACATATGTCAAAATCATACAAATTGGTCCAGTGGGTCAAAAATTAGTTGAAAGTCCCTTTGTGTCCAAATGAAGCATGGCTTTTCTGCCCAAAACCAGTTCCACAGAGTTTTCTATCCTGGAGATAATTGGATTACTTCAAAATTATCTCCAAGAACAGAGGCAAAACTCCATTAGCCACATGGTAGCAAAATACATAAAAATATATAACTGTGCAGTTATTGCATTAAACAGGTACATTCAACATATCCCCAGATAGCTTAGATTTGAGCGCACATTATTACTGAATGGCGCTCAGATCACATACATACAGTTCAATTGCCATGGAGCCAAAGTCTTTCACATAGTCTTTCGTTATACGAATGGCATAGCTATCTGGGGTATCACTGTTCAAATAGGGAAATTACTGAATGACACGGCTTTCGGGTCTTTGCAGGGGAAAATCAAGCATTTCAACATAGGGCCATAGTCACAGGGCAGGAGGCTGGCAATCAGTCTTCTCCAATGCCCAGTGGCGAGGCTGGTTTCGCCACAACCTTGAATTGACTCCTATAGGATACAGGAAGCCAGTGCAAGGACTGACAGAGGGGTGAAGTGTGAGAGGAGCAACTGGAGATGAAAATCAGTCTGGCGGCCGCATTCATTACAGACTATAGCAGGGCAATACGACTTGTGGGAAGACCTATTAGGAGAGAGTTACAATAATCCATGCGAGAAATTACTAGAGCATGCACTAGCTCCTTAGTAGCATCTCAGATCCTTCATTATTGCTCTATATTCTCCTCACCTGATACACCCTATCGCAATCACATATATTGAGAAATGGTGAGTAATAACGCACGTGGTACTCTAATTAAATAGAATCTTGGGCATGTCTGTTTTATTTAGAAATCTAACTTGCATTAAATACTGGAAATCAACAGCTGATGATCACAAGCAAAAGTTCAAAATTGTGTAACACCTTCACGTTCATTTCAGATGTACTAGTGCCACCTAATGACAAGAAAATAGAATTACAACTTTAGTCTGCTTTTTTCCCCGTAGTGAATATTTACATTTTGAATACAGAGGAATATGTGAACTATTTGTTTCTGTAGAATTTTTTTTTGTTTTTGTTTACTGAGTAAAAATCATGGAAAACTCTTAGTTTAGTCTAATAGTTACTATAACCAATCTTACCAGTGTTATAATTGCAAGAATGTGTTCAAATGTTTTCATGAGAAGAATATCTTATTTATCTTCTTTCTTCAATGAAGTCCTGGAAAGAATCAACATATTGCATGTTTGCATGTTTTTTTTTTAAATACTCTTTCTGGGATAATGACAAATTAGAAATTTTCTGAAAGGTAATTCCACAATTTCAAAATTCTAAATGAGAATGCTTCTAAATCTGCTCCTCTGTTTTAATGGGCAACCGTCACCTCAAACCTATTTTTAACAATAATAATAATTTCATCAAGTTTTGAAAAGATATGATTTTTTTTAAGGCATAAGTATGTGTTACAAATGAGAAAAACACACCCATACCTTTAGTATATGACGGGAGTCTTCAGCCATATACATGCATTTTGGATCAGACAGTGTTTGAAAGCTAACAGTTAATCTCTATGGTCTTCCTCACTTCATTCCCTGCACAGAAGCAGGGAAGACCATAGAGACTGTCGGTTTTCAAACATTGTCCAATCCAAAATACATGAATTTGGTTGAAGGATCCTGAAATATACTATACTGTAGGGGTGTGTTTTTCTTTTTTTTTCTTTTAACATATACTTCATAAAAAAGAATAAGAAACAAAACTATTTTCTTTCAAAACTCGATGAAATAATTATTATAGTAAAAATAGTTTTGAGGTAACAGTTGTCCTTTAAGAATAAATTGTGCCTAAAACTCTGACAGTCAGTCAGTGGTTAGTTGAGTCTCATAGGAAATAGTTCTTCCCTCTTTTTTCCTCTCTCTGATTTGGTAGTGATTTTCCAAGTACAGATGGACTGAGGATGGAGCTTCTTGGAATGGAATGGTGCACACCATCCTCTACAATGTGGCTGTCTGCTTTAACATGAAGTTGAAGAAATGTCCTCTCTACTTCCATGTATCTGTATTGGGGCAACTGAAATTTTTACTGGAGCTATTCATGAGACCAGAGGTCTAAGTAGCCATGCTTGAGCATAAGAAGCTAGCAGTGACCTAAAATGAGAAGTGGTCTAATAGGCCATTGCCAAGTTGTGCTAATCTAAGACAGTGACAATGGTTTTTGAAGGCTCTGAAGAGACTTGGTCTTATGGACCTTATGGCATCTAGTATTAAGTGGGCCACACAGCTAACTTCAGGCACATTACGATCCCCAGGTTAACTCCTAGCGCTCTGGATACAAACAACTGAGATTAGACTTGCACACAAAAGTGTGTCCCACCTGAGCCACTTCATTCAATTTTTGGCACGGCTGAAAATGGAAGTTAATCCAAAATGTGTTAAAAAAAAAGATTGGGAATATGAATCAGAAGAACCAAAAGGGAGTGAAACTGGGCCAATCAATGTACTGCAAAATATATATACATTATGTAAATATTATGTATATATTTTGCAGTGCCCTGATAGGTGCATTTTTGCACCATTTGGTTAACAGGTCAAGTGAAAAAAAGTAACCTATAGGAGGAGGAGCAGTAAAAATAAATCTATATTTATATATTTATTAATTAATAAGTAAATATATACACCCTGTTCCAAATTATTATGCAAATGATATTTTTCTCATTTACCTAAATAATTGATGTAAATAACAGTCAGCATAATTCTTATGTTATCAGCTATTAAGAGTACAATTCAAATTTTATTGAACAAACCTCCTAATAACAATATTTTTTTAAACATAAAAAACTTACAATGCACTGTTCCAAATTATTACGCACAGTAAGTTTCAAAACATTTTATAAGTTGTGAAGAACTGAAAATTGCCATTTGTTGTGTTTGCAGCATATTTACTGAAATCAAAAGCTATTTCAATCAAACTTATAACAACATTTTAACTTTTTAAACATTTTAACAGGTCACGCTACATTTCAACATAGGACCCCTTATTTGATAGCAGCTTCACAAGACTTGCATCCATTGAACTTGTGAGTTTTTGGACAGTTTCTGCTTAAATTTGTTTGCAAGAAGTCAGAATAGCCTCCAAGAGCTGCTGTTTGGATGTAAACTGCCTTCCACCCTCATAGATCTTTTGCTTGAGGATGCTCCAAAGGTTCTCAATAGGATTGAGGTCAGGGGAGGATGGAGGCCACACCATGACTTTCTCTCCTTTTATCCCCATAGCAGCCATTGATGAAGAGGTATTCTTTGCAGCATGAGATGGTGCATTGTCATACATGAAGATGATTTTATTACGGAAAGCATAGTTCTTCCTTCTGTACCAGGGAAGAAAGTGGTCAGTCAGAAAGTCCACATACTTTGCAGAGGTCATCTTTACACCTTCGGGGACCCTAAAGGGGCCGACCAGCTCTCTTCCCATGATTCCGGCCCAAAACATGACTCCACCACCGTCTTGCTGGCCGTGCACCAACCATCCACTACTCCATCCATCTGGACCATCCAGGGTTGCACGGCACTCAACAGTGAACAGGACTGTTTGAAAATTAGTCTTCATGTATTTTTCTGCCCAATGCAGCCGTTTCTGCTTGTGAGCATTGGTCTTTGCACTTAATCCTGAGGAAGGCCCCTGCGTGGAGCGAAACGTTGATCTCTTTCACTTAATGGAATAAAGAATTTTTCATTGCAAAGACTGTGAATGCAGCCCTGGCTTTCATATTCCTTTGGTGTTTATATACATCCCCATAAGGACTGGCACCCGGCAAGTACATTAAATGCTTCAATGCATAAGAAGTTTGAGTGTGAGTGCATGGACTTGAATATTTTTTATATATATATATACACACACACAAAATACAGAACCCAAAATTTACTTTTTGTACTTTTGTTCACTTCTCATTTGATCTGTGAATAAAATCAACATTTAGTGAATGTCCCCGGCCATCAAACATCTTTTTAACCATTAATAATCAACTCCTTTTATGACGCCATGGGCAGAATTCCAAATCACAAATCAAAACGAACACGTTCATCCATTGTGCGATGCCTTAGGTTGGTGATTCAGCTACATTTCGGCTCAGAGTTTGGCAATTTGAAGATCACCTGATCAATTCAAATTCAGACGAACTGCAGTTCATAAGGAACCAAATCTCCAACTGAACTTGCCATAGCTCATGGTGTGGCCCAGGAGATATTCACCCTATACTTTTCATGGGCATTAAACTAAGTACTCTCTGGCAGATATTTGGTCTGTCACTCTTGTAATATATGATATGTCTTGGGACTCTGGTGACTCCATGTTTTTTTCTATGTCACCTGTTCATCCTTAGAGGAGTTTTATGTTCTTTAGCCAAACAACAGCTTGATTTCCTTAGGACTTACAGACATTACAGCAAGCTCTTCCCCCTTTCTATCAGTTTTTTTTTTTTTTTTTTACAGTTTTATTTATAGTTTCCGTTTTTTTAGTTCTGAGTTGCATTTCTCAATTTGTTTTCAATGAGATGACAGACAAGAATAGGAAGAACCTGTTCAAAGTACCTTCTCAATTGAAATACCGTGTTAACCAAAACGTTAGTGCGAGACATAGTTGTGGAAAACTCTGGGTGAAGGTGAGTGTGCACTGTAGGGACACAGCAAGGGTAGGTAGAGTGAAACAACGTCATAACAAGTACGATAGATATTGTAGAACATGGAGAAACAGGAATCACCTAACTGAGCAGGAAGTGTCAGATCCATTGAAAATAACTCAGAACAAGAGGTTATATCTGAAAGTCATGTCTCCATTATTACATTATGTATCGACAAGAAAGCTTGAAAGTTGCTCAAGGGAGAACCGGGATTATTGTCATTGTACCTGGGGAGACAGATAAGACAGACCACAGTGGTCCAGGGGAGAGAGGTCCTAATCAGATCAGAAGTGCATTCATTTGCTAGTAAACTTTACACGTGTAAAGATATTCAGTAAGGCTCGCTAGCAAATACTTGAATCACGTTCTGAAGTTACTGGTGAGCTTGTGCGAGATTGTTGGAGATTGATCAGAGCCATCCTTTTCATTTCATCACCACTTTTACATTTGCTACATTCTTGGCAGAAGGAAGTAGCTAAATAAATCATCTTAGACAGAGGCTTTGTATTCAGTATAAAACAAACATTGTTTGCGTAAGGTGGATGGTTCATGCTAACAACAGTTCAGTATTACTGGCAATGAAATCAAAGTTAAATGGAAAATAATGTTTCTACCTTTCTGTACTTGTGACTCTTCATATTGCACAAATTGCCCGGGGGTGCAGTAGTAGTAGAGTTTTTTTTAGTTTAGATTTCTAAAGAAACAAGCTTTTTTGTTTGCATACATGGCACCTGCTATTTAAAGGGACATGCATTGCTTGACATTTTTTTTTAACCAGCAAGCAAACACTATTAAACAAATATACATACCAAAATGGAGCAAGAAAAGTACATTCTAAACATTTATAAAATTACAATAAACTTGGTCAGACTGCATAAATAAGCACGACTCTCAACTAGGAGAGTTTCTCCAGCATCCCTCCCCCATCCCTTTTACCCAACCTTGTGCAGCAGCAGGAGAAACCTGACACCACAGCCTGCTCTGCATGATCACCCTGATTAAAGTCCTGCTCTCTCCCCCTGTCAGAGTGTTGCAGGGTGAAGAGATCTTCCAACTGCACATATGTAAATATTTCAGGCCCAAAGCATTCCTAGGGATACAACACTGATTGGTTAGATCAGTCTCCTCCCTTTAGTGGGTGTGGAAAGCATAAGAAAGAAGAAGCAAGTAAACATTAAAAAAAAATCATATTTATCTGTTTTTTACAGTCTGCAGTGTGAGGCTACTATCTCATTCAAAGATAAAACATTTTTTTTTTAAACAAATTGAAAGCAGAATGCTACAATGGATAAGAGAATCTTCTTACATGACAGTGAAGGGCATTGGCTGCATGGTTTGGGAGCTGGAATCCTCTGTTGAGTGAATTTTGAAACCTGCTGGCAGAGGATATTGAATAAGAATTTGTTTCTTGAGAACAGAGCGGGATTAAGGATCCCAGGGGCCCTAGGTAGAATGCCAGATTTAGGCCCTCTCCTAGAACCCTGCACTCTGTTAATTGATGCTGTGTGGTGTATGTGTGTGAGGACGCTGAGAGCTGTATGTGGGGGGGAGGTTGAGGGAGCCTATGTAATGGTTGAGTGTTGTGTGTGTGTATGTGTACCTGTAGCAGTGTTTGAGTGTTACTGAGTGTTGTGTTGTGTGTGTAGTGTCTGTGCATGGGTAAGGTGTTCTTTTGCTACCCGTGCTTAGATTTTGGTGGAAGGGGGCTGTTTTCCCTGGTTGTACAGTGGAGGATAGAACCCTGGTGGTCTGGTGAAGGATGAGCTGGGAGCATGATTCCTATCAGTCAATTGGGGATGCATTGTGGTTTTCACCAGTATCAGATGCATATCACTTTAACCCCTTAAGGACACATGACATGTGTGACATGTCATGATTCCCTTTTTTTCCAGAAGTTTGGTCCTTAAGGGGTTAAGAGCTCGCTCAACACCTCTGCACTTAATTAATGACTGTAGCATACTCAGTCACTGAGAAGCACTGGGCGACTATGAGGGAACTCTTAAGGAGAACTGCACCTGATAAAGGTGCAGACTGTGAAGCTGTCTTGAACATGCTGGATCAGGGAGGACCCCTTTACAGTCAGAACCGGAATGTCACGCTCCTATATATTACCCACATGAGTAATTTGGCTCTGTTTCAGAGACCAAGACTTGACTAGGCTTGGTTTAAATAATCAGAGGAGGAGGTATGGACATGAAAAAGATCACATTGAATCACTGTGCTATGGAGTAAACTCATATTGATATGTTTGAAATCTTGTTAGAATACACATTTACAATGTTAAAGATACATTGTAAGCAGTATAATCACTAAAGGCTCGGTTTCTGTGTCAATCAGGAGGCCCATGCTCGGCATATTTCTATGGCTGAAGTAAGTACACAACATATTTACTAAGTAGGATAAAAAAATATTTGGAAAATAGAAAAAGATAGACAAGCAGTGAATGCTGTCATATGAAACACCTTTTTTTGCCTTAGGTCTATCTAATTCCTGTATTTCTACATTTACACCTTGACACCTTACACTCTATGTCACATAAATTGGTGCTGTCACCTCCCATCACGTTTAAATTAGGAATTGGAGCAAGGGAACTGTACGATTAGTTATGCAGATTTTATTCCATCTGTCACTGAGATGAGCTGTAACAGAGAAAGAATTGGGGGCACACCCGAGACCTGCATTTTGCACAATAATACACTTTATTTTTAACACTTGTACTATTTAATTTGTCCCCCACATTTTAGCGTTGGACCCACCAACATTGGGGTACTTTGAAAGCAGTGGTGGGCTTAACATCATATGGCCATACGGTGGAACTAAATCCCCATATTTATTCTTAGATAGGCAATTTAGAAGCCTTTTTTGTGTTGTATTTTTTGTAGTCTGAGTGCACTGCAATTATATTTTTCATATTTTTTTCATTTAATTTTTTTCATGAGATGAGCTGTAAGTCCTTAACTCTGAAGACAATTATGATGATGGAAAAAAATATCTGAAGGTAGGTTTGGTAAATGCATTTAACTCATTCCCCACTGAATAGTTTTTTATCCAAATAATTTGGCATGATGAATATGATATGGCCCGGAATACATTGGGCAAACTGGAAATTGCCTGGTAAACAACAAAGGGCAGGGGCCGAGGCCGTGCAGGGAGATTAAAATCCTATGTAGGGCTAATGCTCAGTGAGCGCAGCCCAAACAAGGAACTCGATTTGTTTCTGCAAGGCTTAACAAGGCAACGCTCTTAGTAATGCCAAAAGTCTTTAGAAGAAACCAGCTGGAGAGCGCACTCAGCCCACTGGACCACCAGGAATCACCCACCAGGTAATAAAAATGTTTCCTCCACAACTCAAACTCCTACCACCTACACACTGCAGCCTATACAAAACAACAGCCCCTGTACATACACACTAAAGCCCCCTACACACACACATAAAACTTAAAAACACACTATATCCCTGGTACACACATTTCAGCCTATATTAATATAAATTAGCACACATGCTACGGCCTACATACATGCACATTAGATACATGTATACACACACTAGAGCCTCTAGATTCAGACACCCTCTAGAGTCTAGACACACACTACACTCCATAGACAAATACATACACTACACCCTCTAGACACTTAGACACCCTCTAGAGTCTAGACACACACTACACTCCATGGACGAATACATACACTACACCCTCTAGATGTAGAGACACTTTCTAGAGTCTAGATACACACCACATTCCATAGACGAATACACCCTCTAGACACAGAGACACTCTCTAGAGTCCCTACACTTGCATACACTACAGTCCTTATACAGACACACTCTATCCTGTACACACAAACTACAGCCCCTATACATAAACATACACTCTAACATACACCCCACACACAACATTTCCTATACAAATACATGTACACTACAGCCCTTATACACACACCACACTTTAGAAAAACTACAACCCAGAGACAAACACACACACATGCTGTCTCTCTACAACTGCAGACATACACGTACAATCTCTAGATGCATACACTTTACAGCCAGTGGAAACATGTACACCCTACAGTCCCCTGACATACAAAGTACACCACAAACCGACTCGTTTACACACACTACACTGCAAACAGTTTCCTTTATGCAAACTAAGCATCTTTGATGGACAAAAAGTCTGCTAAATCATCTGGGCTGGATTACCTGTCCAATTAAGAGGTAGCCAAAAACAATGATTGATGGTTAGGGGAGAGCCATAAATGTTAATTTTATTCACAGATCAAGTGACAACTGACAATGTGTGTTTACTATTGCTGTGTCTGTGTGGGAGATAGCCTGAGTTGTTGATTCTAGTGTAAGACTAGGTTTAGCTTTCTGCTGTATCTAAGTATATGGTGCTCTTAAAAAAACGTTGAGTGGAAGTTGGAGATCGGCATTTTGCCATTGATGCTAATGTGAGTCTAGATTACCATGATTATACAGTTGTACATTTGTTTTTGTTGTTGTTAACTATTTGATGAGCAAAATCCTTCCTTTGGGAAGTGTGATGTGTTCAGTACCACAGAAAAAATTAATTTTTGCCTAGCCTAGCTCATTGTTTGTAGTGTGAGACTAGGCTTAACTTGCAGCTGTACCTAGCTATTAGCTACTGCCAGGAGAACTTGAGACACCTTTTAGTGGGTAATAGAAGATTACATTTTGTCCACCATCTCCAAGTCCGTTTGTATCTTCTATTTGTATACGCAGTGTGGCCAGGCAGGTGGAACCACAACAATGCAAGGCATTTGGAAAAACGTTGGAGCAGCAGAGGTCATATGCGATGTAAAGATGGGTGGGCAATTGATGACCCACTCACCCGATCTTTTTTTGAAATATCCCCTTTTTCAAATAAATTATCTTCTGCTGCCGCTAGGGCACCATTTTTTTGTTGTTGTTGTTTTTTTATCTGAATGAAGATCACTGACGCTACAGACAGATGTGTGGGAAATCTTTGTAAGGGGTGAGCGAGTAGTCAATAGTCCACTGACTTTTTCCAAACAAGTTTGTATAAATCCCCCTTTTTTCACCTGTTCCAATGTCTAAGAAATTCCTCCTATGTTAATAAATTGGCCTGTATCCAAGAAAATCAAGTTATCAGCATTTGATAATGAGGACAGAAAACACACTTGTACAGATGATATACACAACCTTCCTTGCAGTATGATTCACAAGGTGGAATTCATCATAATAACTGCTTGATAAGTAGGGACTTAAAAGTGTCAGAAATATCTTGAGCTCT